GAGTAGGTGATTCACAATCTGTAGCTTGTTTGAGCAAGTGTTAAAGGGACGATGTTAGCAGTCTACAGTAAAATGGCGAAAGGTGGACAGATTTCCAGGTGAGTCCTCAACATCTGAAATGTAATTTTCCTAACCTGTGTGTCTCTCCAGTGTTATGGGTAGGATTTTGGACATAAAATCTTTGAAGTACTAGAAAGGGTATTTACCCAATCATTGCAATATTAACCAAAGTAATGTCTGGTATTTGTACCATTGCGCTAGTAATAAACCTGTAAGGGTTATAACACAAACCCATATTAATCATCAGCTTGTACTTTCTTTTCAGTTCATTGGTGGAAGAATTCAGAAAGACACTCTGTGCTTTATGGCAAGGAAGCCAAACTGCATTTAGTCCAGAGTCTTTATTTTATGTTGTTTGGAAAATCATGCCAAATTTTAGGTAAGTTTTGTAGAATAAGAACGATATTCTTGATTGCATCCTTGTATTGCTGGTGTCCTGCTCTAAAATTTGCTGAATCCGTGGGATATACTCTATGCAGCTTTCCCATATGCCCGCAAACATACTTTGAAAAGGATCTTCACTTTGATCAACAGTTTTGTGTTCATCGGTAGTGCGCTTTTTTTTTTCCCCTGCCCTTCATGCTACATGTAGCAGTGTCAGAGAGGACAAACATCTCAAATACTGAACTAGTAGTAGTACCTTTGAGCCAGTGCTCCAAAGGGCAGAAGAATCAAGATAATGACTGGTAGGAAGTGCCAAGTGCATGGTGTTGACAGAATCAAGCTTGGCTGCAATAAGAAAGTGATGTAGTCAGATTAAAAAAGGTATAGCACCTGCAGGCCTAAATGCAAACATACTGGCTGAAACTTCCTTGATTCTCTCAAAATACTGTAGTCATCAGCTGGACGTGAAATAAGGGCTGTAAGAAAAAAGTCTTGTGCATAGTAGGTGTCTTGTGCCCATACTGACAAAAAAGACGATAAAAAGAAAGGGAAAAAGAAGGTTACCCAAGTAAATCAAAGTATCGTTCCTCTCCAAGGTCTCCCTGTCCTGGCCCCTGAACCTCTTTCAAAGGAGCACTGAAACCTGTTAGGATATATTGTGACGAAGGTAAGTTGCTCCGTGTTCTCAGGTAGTAGTTATCTGTTACATCTCCAGCAGTGCTGAAAAGATGCTGTGAACACACGTGCTCAACGAGTAACCTGAATAACACAAATCTGTTTTACTCTGTTCTTCACACTGCCAAATGTGTTTCACTTGGCTTATGAGAATCAAGGAAGTTTAACACCAGTAGTTGCAAGCAGTGACCAAAACATACTAGGCAAATGAGCATCATCCATCATGTTCTTGACCAGTTTCCCTATTACAGTCCTCACTATAATTCTTTATAATTCTTGTTAGACTAAGTGAGAAACCAGTTCATTAAAGTTCCTCAAGCAGATTTTCAGCACTGTGGGTTCTATCACAGCTTTTAAAAGAAAAAGTGCTGTTGTTTGGGGTTCTTCCCCTCCCCTTTTTATTCCCAGTTAGCTGGGAACATGTCCATGATTAATTGGTAAGAGAACTCATTCAATCACACGGAGAATAAGAGTCAGCTGCTCAGTAGATCCCTGCTCCCACATGATCCAGGGAGAAAATTTGAATTTGTTCAGTGCTTAATTGTACCTTGTAAAAGCTAATGATGCTACAATTCTAATTCTACCTTGTACGCTTTTTGAGACTAGGAGAAGGTGGATGGGCGTACACGTGGTAGGAAGCTTGGAGCCAGCAGCATGTTAACAGCAAGCCAGCCACTTTGGCTTGTGCGTATGAAGCCTGAAGTGATGGGGCAGGGGGAAGAAACATGGTTGGAAACGTTGTTTAATTGTTTTAGCCCAAAGAGATTTCAGTTGTCATGTCATGCCTGTCTTCAAGGACTGCAAGTGTTGTTCTTCTTACAGCACTTGCTGTAAGTGGCTGTAGAAAAAAACCTGCTGATGATGCACTCCATGGCCCTCTGTCTCGTATTGCATACAGGGAGTAGAGAATATCATTTACAGTTACTATAAGCACAACTGGAGTGCCTCTGAGCTCTAATGCTGCTGTGCCAGTCCTGCTCCTTGACTGTTGGACAAAGTCTGCTGCTGTCGTTCTGCTGCATGCCGAGATAGTTCTCTAGCCTCGTGCCGAGTTGTGAGATGTGCATTTTGCTGATTTACTGCTGTATAAATAGTATGCTCTATTTTCCTAGTAACTGTTCCTGTTTATATCCTATCTTGTTGCTGGTAGGAAAAGGAGTGTCAGAGGTGGGCTTGAATTGAGTTGCTTCAGGTGGATGGAGATCAGTTTTATTACACAAGCTGACTATCAGAGAAACCATGCTTTTTGCTGACAGGCTTTTAGATCACAGTTTATTTTAAACAGTGCATCGTCCATATCATCATGGTCTTTTCAAGATCTGTATCTATACTTACGCTTTTTAACAAATCCACAGAATCTTTCATCTATAATTAACATATTTGTATGCAAGTATAAACACGTGCACCAGGAGTACAACCAACAATGTGGAATGATTCCAAAGGTTATTTCATCGAATTTGTTGCAGAGCAAGGGTGCCACATACCTCAGAGCTCTTTTATGAGGAGCTGAATGTTGAAAAGGTGTCTGAAGCAAAGACTTTCCATAAATTTCCTCTTCAGCTGTTTATTATGATTGCCTGTATGTTTATTAAATTGAAGATATCTGTGTTCAGTAAACTAAGCAAATCTGTGTTATCTCAGCAACTTCAAAATTATCCTACAGTGTGCACAGTTGACATGCAGCTTTGAAGCCGAGTTCTGTTTTAATACCTTTTTTCATAGTAGCGTATAATTATGTTGCAACTTTGGGAGAATAAGTCCTATTGTGGGCTGTACAGGACTCTGGCCTGTTGAAGCACAGCAGCGTTTCTGTGTGCCAGTTTTTCTGTCGTAAAAGATAGGTAGTGCTGCTGATGGTTTTCAGGGTGCTGTAAGATCTACACGCAAACTCGGTGATTTTGTTTAAAGCTGCTAGTTTGGAAGAAAACGTTACTGTAATTCTACAAGATGAAAAGGCTTTATTTCCTTTTTATTTTGTTATCTCTTAGCAATACTTGTGTAGGACATACCTACGTTCTTCACTAAGCACATCAGCCTCACCTTGCGTACTTCTGCTGCACTGAGTCTGTTCTCATTTCTCTCCAGTTCTGGGTTCTGTGCCATGAGTCTTACAGACATTTTCCCTCCCCTGGGCAGTAGCATAAAAACCATCTCCTGTTCTTTCCCAGGCATTCCCCAGCATTCCTGTTTGACAGTTACTGCCAATACTTACGTGGAATAGCGAGGAGGAAAAGGGGCAGGGGAGGCATGATAAAGCAGCTTAAAAGAATGGACAAGAGGAAAAGCCAGCTCTACTATGTAGGGATTTTTGTAACTAGGCCTACAAAGACTTGCACATAATTATGTCAGTGTCACACAAAGCTTTCCCTGTTTTACTGTGTATGCTTTCCGACTTCATCTCAGTTGTACATCTTATAGCAAATGAATAGCAGTTGTTGTTTGTTAAATTTGATGCATGATTTAGCTTAAATAATTTTAAAGGCATATTTTACCCTGATGGCCTCTGTGTTCCCTTCGATTAGGTTTGTTAGTGGTGAAATAATGGTGACTCTTTGAGCAGCATTGCTGCTGATGGCATGACACATCTGAGACTGGAGCCCTATCCTACCAAGTCCAAATGCTCAAGAGATGCTCTGGATATCCCACCGTTACCGCCCTCTCAAAAACAAACCCAAAGATTAAATTCCTGGCTTTGGTGGGGAGGGGAACAAACAGGCAAGCAAACACCTCGAACTGCCAAAGTGAGGGGGATCAGTGGCTGAACGAAAACCACTCGGAAATACTGACCCTGAATCCCACGTGAACAATACATTTTGTTGTGGCTTTCTTTTGAATCTCACCAGGTTTGAGATGTCAATATATTGACTATAATTTATAGTAGTTTCAAAGTAGGGGTGAATAGTGTGCAGCCTGAACCCGATTCATAACAATTCTGTGGAGGTACTAATCAGATTTAGTCAGTAGCAAAGAAAAAGGAGAAAGGCTTTGTGTGAGTGAGGGGAAGTCACTGCTACCATTGTGTATTTTTAAGTAACATGTATGTGAGTCCTAGGATGGTACTAGCAGAGACTGAGTTTGGTGAGGCCAATTAACATTAGCCAAATACGTGAGCAAATGTTATGTCTCTGCTGCTCCCTGTTTATTTTCTAAAAGGTCTCTTCATATCTAAAACGTATATTCTTAAATGTTTCTCCATCCTCAAAAATGAGATGCAAAGAGAGAGTGAGCGAGTGAGCTGTGAAGGACCAAAAAATTGCTTAGTTTGTCTAGACATAGCCATATGTTTTCAAATGCCACTTGGAAAACTTTTTTGGTACAAAATGTATATGTCTGTAAAGTCTGCTCAGTATTATTAAACAAGCAAAGGTTCTTTCATGTGACCCTGGTGCTCTCTATGTGTCAAGCAATCTGTATATTTGGTGATTTTGTTGCTGTTGTTTCCTTTTCTCTTAAGGGGGTACCAGCAACAGGATGCCCACGAGTTCATGCGTTACCTTTTGGACCATCTACACCTGGAACTCCAGGGTGGCTTCAATGGCGTTTCACGTTCAGTAATTTTGCAAGAAAATTCTAGTCTGTCTGCAAGCAACAAATGTTGCATGTAAGAAGTGTTCTTTAATTTGTTCAAAACCTTAATGCCTTTGTATGGGTCTGTGTGAAGTGGATCAGAAATTTGAAATTCATGGTTCATTGTTTAAGTTCTCTTTAGTGCCTCTGTAATGTTCCTAATTACAAAGCTACAGGTTATAAAGGATTAGCATCCTATAGGATGTGCTTTCTTTCAAAAGGATCAGCATTTTTCATAGGTGTGAGTGAGCATACAGGCTCAGTTGTAAACACATTTTAATTCATTAGTCTTTCAGAAATAAAAAGAACGAACTTTGCATTTTCTATTCTATACCCGTATAGAATTCTTTGTTCAGACAAGCTCATTGTCTTAGGGTGACAGATAGCCTGAAGGATACAGGAGCAAAAAAGATGACCAAGTATTTATAGGTTTAAGTTATCAGCAGACCTCCTGGATTAACGAGTGAGCAATGCAGTTACAGTTTGAAGTCAGTTTTCCTGCAGATGATCTTGCTATATTTACATATCACTTGACACAGTTAAAGCTGTTGTATTTTTTTCCTGGTAATTTTGATTTTCGTGTTACTGTGTGTCTTGAAACAGAGGTAATCCATGTGTTTCACTCCTCTTTCTGTACTTCTCAAAATACTGTTGTTTCTGAATTCTGTCCCAGGTGTGTTTTCTCTCAGATTGAAACTGTCACAGAGAGAAAACATTTTAATTTGCTTCAGGAAGGAATGTTAAGTCAGTTCAGCCTGCACACTTGGTCTCTAAGTCCTTGGATTCCCTACATAAGAGTTGAGTGAGTTTTCCCTTCCTGTACCCATTAGGACATAGTAAGCAGGTCTCGAAGTGCAGGATTTTATAGATGCTTCATTAGCGAAAGCCTAGAGTTTGGACTGTGCTCTTTAGCACATTTATGTTGCTTTGATGATGCTTTAAAAATCCCACAAAGGAATCCTAAAATGTTCTTAGAATTGAAGTGTATTTGAAAACTAAACCAATTTTGTTTTGTCAACATTTTGAATGTCAAAACCCAAGGAGAATTTAAACTTTGTTCGCTGTAAATTTGTCTTGAGAATGGCTGTTCAAATGCATGGTGAAGTAGAATTAAGCTGCCTTCTGTCAAGGGCAAATTAAGGTCACATACACTTAAATGCCTACAGTAAAGAAATATGCTGCTGTGAATGCTTTCTTCTTGAGCCATGGCTTATTTGGGTAGCCATTTCCTTCTGCTCAACAAGAAGTGTTCAAATTAACTGTAAAGATGTAGGTGGAGTGCAGATAAGGAACACTGGTTTCTGCAGGCTTGTGGTGTCAGATCTGCAAGCACAAACTAGCAAGTTTAGAAGTTGTATAATAATATAACTTAAAAATGTTTTGGTTGGTTTTTTTAATTGGACTATGAGAAGTAAGTCCATTACATAATCTGCTGAAAAGATTGAGTAATGAAAGTATGATGCATGTTGTTTATATCTTAATGCAACTTAAGCTGTCTTTGGAAGTGCAGAAATGTGCTTTAAGAAGTCATAATTACTTGTAACAAAGGGTAGAGAATTAAAACAAAAATATGCTCGACCTACCTAAGAGGGAAGACTTTTTGTTTCAGAAACAGCCTTAATTTGGGGTTAAAATATACTGTGCCCCGTAAGCATCAGCTCTCCACTATAGAAATGCAGTCAACTGGAATGCTTTCAACACTGAAATTTTGAGCATCTGCTTAGAGCGTACACGGTTCACACTTTCTTCAGGTACAAGATAAAGCAAAAGTATCATAGCAGCTAAATACTTGCTCTGCACAGTTCTGGGGTGAATGAAATGCTGAGTGGATGAACTCAGTCACTGTTTGTTACACAGGGACAAAATGGCTCTGCCTAGTAGTAGTGAGTTGTAAGCTGTAAACATGTAACAGGTATTGAAAATTAAGCTCAGACATTCTGACTGACTTTACCTCTCTGGCGTGGTTTGTCTAGAAATGGAGCGTCTACTGTTGTCACAGCGATTTTTGGAGGCATTCTTCAAAATGAAGTCAACTGCCTAATATGTGGGACTGAATCTAGAAAGTTTGACCCATTCCTAGGTAAGGTGCCTCTTGCTTTCAAAATACCAGGTGACTTAAGGTAGAAAAATAAATCTGAAGCTTGATATATTTAGCTATCACATGACTGAACCAGAGTTTTAGCCTGAAAAGATTAAGCATCATTTTATTCAGCCCTAATTTTTTTTTAATCTGTGTTTTTCTAGACCTTTCGCTAGATATTCCAAGTCAGTTCAGAAATAAACGTACTAAAAATCAAGAAAATGGACCAATGTGCACACTACGAGGTAAGAGTGCTTGGATAATGAAATCATTACCAGGACTAACAATATATACTCTCCAGAGTAGCTACCTCAGAGGAGCCAGGCTTTCACCTAGGGTGTGACTTGGTGCCACATGCCATCTAATTTTATGAGATTCTGGGGTTGGTAAGAAGGTGCCAAAATAATTTTCTATGCAGGTTTTACCCCAGTCACTGTGTATTGATATGCTACTATGATAAAACTGGGGCTGAGAAGTGCTTCAGGAGGTCAGCTAAGAGGATTCCAGCAGAGGTTTTTCTTTGTGGTCAGAGTGTTTTTAATGGATTACAGTCTTCCCTTCAACACTCAATCTGCATTGTTGCCTACTGGCATTTGCTAAGGCTCTGTGCTTAGAAGTGTGTGCCCCTTGAGCATATTAAGGATGGCTCTTGGGTGTTCTGCTTTTTAAACAACATAAATACAATCCTGTTGTTATTGACCTTGTTTAAAAAGATGTTAATTTTTTACAGATTTTACAGATTTGTGTGTATACTTGCTGCAGATTGTGAAATGTTAATCAAAACCCCATTATTTTCTCTGTTCACTTTGTACCTAAAATCAAATCACATTTCAAAGTTGAATATTCTTTGTTAGAAAGTCATTTAGTTTCTTTTGAAAACAGTTGTGCTGAATGTTGGACAGAATCTTGTTTGAAAAATGGAGGTTTTGTGAATGCCTCTTTTCCTCTTGAACTGCTTATAGCTGTTTTCAGGAACAGGGAATGCTGCATGTTGCAAGATGTTATTGTATTAAAACACATTATTACACAGCTTTTTGCTGCACAAATCTATATAACTAGAATGATTGCAGGAGATATGCACACCTTCTCTATATTGTTGTATTTCATGTTACAAAAATCACTCAATGTCATCTTGAATCAGGTTTCTTTGTGTGGTGTTTTGGGTTTTTTTGTATCTTGTTCTTTTTTAGATTGTCTTCGCAGTTTTACAGACCTGGAAGAACTTGATGAGACAGAGCTGTATATGTGTCACAAATGCAAAAAGAAACAGAAGTCCACCAAAAAATTCTGGATTCAGAAACTACCAAAGGTTTGTATAAGTATGAAAAGTAACAGCGTGACAATCCATCAAAGGATATAATGCCACTGTTAGTAGACCAATGCCTAACAACTCTCCCATAGGCCATTGCAGATGCCTCACACAAAGTTCAACCTCTTCCTCTAATGCATACTTTTTTTTTTTTTTTTTTTTTTAATCCTCTAGGTGCTATGCTTACACTTGAAACGATTTCACTGGACAGCATATTTGAGAAACAAGGTTGATACATATGTTGAGTTTCCCTTACGAGGCCTAGACATGAAATGCTACTTGTTAGAGGTATGAAGACTCACTGATACTTTCTGTAGAATTTCTTCTATGACATATGTCTTTATCACAAATTATATTAGGTGCTACTGCAATCTGAAGAGTTTTCTGTCTTTTTACCCACAGCCTGAAAACAGTGGCCCAGAAAGCTGCCTGTACGACCTTGCGGCTGTTGTTGTGCATCATGGTTCAGGGTGAGTACATGGAGTAAGCCTGCTTCTTGGCAGGGACCATCTCCCCACTGAAGTACATGCAGAGTTAATTAAGGTTTTTCTGTCCCCAGTGAATGTCTGTATTTTCACTGGTAGAAATAAGCAGTAACTTAGAAACTTACATGGAACTAAGCTGAATTAACTTCAGATAGATCTATACAGGTATTCCTGCGAATGCCCACTGGCAGTCTTTGGGGGTAATGACTAGAAGTGTGGGATGGAATGAAAATAGTCTACTCCCTGTAGGAATGGAAAGCCCTAAACCAACGGAGTGAATCAGGGGGCCTTCCAGAAGGTAATGCCTCATTTTGAAATTTGTAGTACAAAGCAGAAATGTTTTTTTCCTCTTTTATTCACTTTGAAAGGCGCACGTGCATTTATGCCAAAAAGGTGCGTGTGCATGTTTGGAACAAATGGAGACTTAAGATCGGCACAGTGAAAGCAATTACCCTACAGGAGTGAACTTCAAAGTGAATACCAATAGGCATGCCACAAGGCTGGCTAGTGTTCGTATTTTGAAGTAAAATTGCTGGGTGCGTTTTGTTTTGGTTTTTCCTTTTCCCAGCCCTGGACGGATCTGTTGAGAGTAACAGTAGTAGGGAGAAGACAACTGTTTATCCCGAGAGAAATGTGTTCTTGTCATTTAGGTAATCACTCTCTGGGTGCGAGCAGTGAAAGGAGTTTTCTTAAAGAAATCAAACCCCATTAATCAAAACCTTGGTGATACCTGAATTTAATTCAAAGATGTGAAACAAAAAGTTCTGTCCAGAAAGCCCCTCCTTTTGCTTTCTCTAGAGGAATGGTCTGGACTTCAGAAAGATTTGACTACTAAAGGCAGCCCTTGCAGCACCACAGTGCATCTGAGTGGTGCTTCAAAGTTGTAGGAGAACCGTATGGCCAGCAAAGGAAAACTGGTTGTGATTAGAATGGAATTGTTAGATGGTTGGAAACATTGAGCGTGTGTTCTAACATGTAAGCAAGCGAAAACAGGCCTTATCTTGGGGTGGGAGGGTAATGAAAATTGGGCTTGTAGTTCTGGTATCTTAGATTCAAGAAATATGACTCCAAGATGTGGATCTGTTTAAGATGAACTTGAAAAATTTTCTTCTTGGTATTCTGGGATTGGTTTTGCTGTGAGTGCTTTTGATTATGTTTAGACTATGTGAGTCTCTCTAGACCTAAATGGGGAAGATTTCTGAAAATAGAGCATAGTAAAATTTTTATAGCTAATGCTTGAATAGTAACAGGTAATAGACCTGATTTTTATGTAGGCGAACATGGAAATTCAGTGTTGCGAGAAGCCTTGCTTGCACAAAAAGTATGGGATGCTAGTAAGTTCATATAAAAAGCCTTTCAACTCATCCCAGTGAGTGATTAGTTTACTCAACGCAAAACTCTGAGCCCCACAGATTAAGAAGGGAAGCATCTTACCAACTGTTATGGAGGGCTGTCAGTTTCTTTCTTCCTCTGGTTCCTGGAGTCTCTTAGCCCTAATAGAAAATGCATCAGAGAATGAGGTGGTGTGTCTCCTCCTGATTGTCCTTTCTTTCCCCGCCTGCCCCCTGCTGACAGCGTTGGCTCTGGACATTACACCGCATATGCAGCTCACGAAGGCCGTTGGTTCCATTTCAACGACAGTACTGTAACTTTGACCGATGAGGAGACTGTGGTAAAGGCCAAGGCCTACATCCTCTTCTACGTGGAACGGCAAGCCAAATCTGGATCAGATAAACTTTAATACCTCCTTTTAATTCTCGCTTATCAAGTTCACCGGACAAAACATTTCCATTTTTCCATAAATACTTGATCCAAGACTATTAATTTCATTGTGCACTTTTCAATTTCCTCTTGTGGGTTTGTTTTGTTGTGTCAATGGTAGCATTTGACTTACTGAACTTGGACACAAACTAACTTTTTTTTTTTTTTTAGTTATACCAGAAAACCTCAGCAGATTTTGATTTGCTGCTTTAGTTGTGATAACTCAATTTTTATATATATAGTTTCATGAAATACTTAGTTATTTGACTTTTTTTATATTAATGTTTTCAGTTCTCACTTTCTAAAGGCACATTTACATCAGAGAAGCTTTCTATCCTCCTTACAAGCAAGATAAATGTGCTTCTGATTATGAAGAGCAATACAACTTCATGCTGTTCTCACAGCTGTTATGTAGATATGATTTAATCTCTTTAAAAATCAAGGAATTGTTTGCACGTGCTATTTTCCCTCGTGCAAGAAACTAAACAGCGACCTCTGAACAATCATTCTTTGTCTGCAGAAGAGAGGAGATGTGGCATCATTAAATAGACCAGGTAATTGCTGCTATATTGATGTGTATTCAGGCTGCTGACTTTCAGGAATCATTGTAAATAAACAGTTGGTTCAATTGTATCTATACTGCAGTTTAATTCAAGTATTCCTCACATATGCTCTGCTCTCCCCCCTTCAAATTTAAAAAAAAAAAATCTTAAAATATATACCTAAGTTGTGTTGAGATTTATGTTTTTTTAACCTGAATTGCCTTAGACATCTCTTGTTTTAGACTGTCATCCTGAAATTTGATCACGAACACTTAACTTGCTTGGAAACTTCATGGCAGTGGGACCCCAACTCTCCTTCCTGGTGGGAATTGGGAGTATGCCCCCAAGTTTGGGGGTTGTGGGAACAGTCTTAGGTCTAAATATAGCTCCTGTCCACGAAATGCCTGCAGTTCACTTAAAACTGAAAGGAAGGGGATGGTGTTCCAGATGCTCTGCATGACAATTGTTTACCAGTTCAAATGCAAACTAAAGGGAAGATGCTCAGTTTCACAGCACAGCCTGCCTGATGGGAGTTGATGAGCCAAGACTGCTCTTTGACTGGAGCAGACTCTGTAGCTGTAGTACTTAGGCACTGGCCCAGTGTGGTGTCTTCGTTTATGGTCTCTAGATGAACACTGGAGGCATGATACAGGTTCTAAAACTTGGCTATGTAATGGAGAAAGACTTATGTTAAAAAAAAAAAAAAACAACCCACCCTGAATTTTAGCTGTACTGCCATTCTGGAGAGTGCAAGTCAGCTAATAAGATTTAAAAAAGGTGGACAGGAAATCCACTCTTGCAAAAGCCAGGAGGCCCACAAAAATCTGAAATTCGACAAACGCTACATTTCAGTTCTCTTCCCCCAGCCCATCCTTTCTAGCTAGCCCCTGTGTGCTTAGCAGGGAACTGGACACTCCTAAAATCTCAAAAGCGTGGTAGTAAGAGTAGAATTTACTTAACGTAGAGTCACACAATCAAACACTGCCTTTTAGGTGTGGTACTGGTAAAATATAGGATTCTGAAAACACACAAGAACTCAAGTAAAATGTGATGAGCCTTTCTAGTTAATGCTTCTGAAAGACATTGTAGTACACAGTAAAAATTTCCCCTACAGATTGTACCATAGCTCAACCTGGTGCATATGGAGTACACATCAATTTCCTTGCTGTGGGTTACCTGCTAGCTGTACATTGACAAGTATAATGAGAAGTCACGATCAGATGTTTTTAAAAATGTAATTCTTCATAGCGTTTTCACAGCATCTTAAATCAGGAAAGAGAGAAGTTGGCTTAATATAAAACTGCAGAAGGCATTCAGCAGTGCTAATGGTGTATGAATATGTAAACTGTACACTAGTAAAACCTACTATTATTATTTGCTACATTAAGTGACATAAGAAGACATCCTTATATAAAGTTGAACAATAAATAGAACTATTCATTGCTTTAAATTGTACGTAGTTTGTAACCTACCATTTCTGTTTCTTGCAGCCAGAGCCTGCCTTCTAATCAGAATAGGTAGCTGTTATCATTTATACAGGCAGAAAAAGGTATTTGGCATTGGTGTGCAGGGCAAGTGAAGTATCTTATCATGTTATTACCCTGAAGGGCAGGTTAGTTGGGGAGTTAAGTAGATTCCATCTAATAGCTGCATTTTGTCTGTATGCTACTTGGATTGGATTGCTTTAGAATTTTAGTTTTGAGAATACAAAGCTTGAAATACAGAACTAGCTATGGGCCAGAAGCAGTTTAACTTACAGTAGTCAGGTGTATGTAGTGTTCTTGCAAACCAGTGATGTAAATGTGCCTTTTTTGTATTTTTAGAAACTTAAATTTGTAATCTTCAGCAACATTCACTTACTTTAAGCAGCTTGTACTTCTCCAGATAATTTTTTTGGGTCAGAGTTATTGTTCTCACTTAAGTATTTCTTTTCAGTAACAGTTGCTCTGTAACATTAAGGTCTTGGGCAATGGTACCCAGCATGGGCCATTTGAGACACAGCCATGGGAACACAATGCAATCATGTCAGTCTTGTTCTTGCAGCAGGTGGTGATAAGGACTTAGCCATATGCTTTGCTGGAACTAGTACATTGTAAATCCTTTCCTAATTTAACTTTCTCCTACTGCAAACCCAGATGGACAGTATGAACAGTTTGTTGTGGCAACACAAGTATTTCTCTTCCTGGTGGAGAACTTCGCTTATCCACTGTATTCTAGTCAGTGTGGTGTCAAAAAAAAAAAAAAAAAAAGAACCTGAGCACTGAACCAGTAACATATACTGCACCTGGCCTAGTACTACATTTTTAACCTTACTTGTATATCCTATATTTATCTACTAGCTTGGGGGGGCGGGGGGGAATATCTCATTTCATTTAAGCCAAATATTTCTTTTCTACTTACTGCTGATCATAGTACACACTAACTGGCAAGAATTTTTTTCTTGCTTGTGACTGCTCTGCAAGCAACAACTGCTCTCTACAGTTCAAAGACTTGCATATTTTTCACCAAAATTTGTCTGATCAAAGGTTGTCCTTTTGTTAGTAATTGTTTAGCCACGTATACAACTGGAGACAAGATCTATGTAAAACAAAACTGCAAAATGTCCAGCTCTCAGAGTACTGCTTTAGTGTGTTGTGTAGTGAGCTGTTACGTGCAGCACTATGCGAAACTCTAAGGCACTTATTACAAAGAGAGCTCCTTCTCAGAAGATGCTTGCCAGGTTGGTAACGTCAGCCTGAGAGGAGAGTTTAAAACTTTCAGACAGGCAGGGACAGTGGACTTCTATCAAAAGCAGGAGGCCAGTTATAAGGATTTTGCTCAATCAGTGGAAAGCATAACACGTGTTCAAAAGTTTCCCCAACGTTTCATTACTTAATGTGTCTGTCTTACTGATGAGGTAACCAGCACCTTGAAAACTGATTCCAATGTGCTTTAGGATATCCTCAAGTACTGTAGTGCCATAGTTGTAATTGTTTACCATTAAAATCTAGTGTGTAATTTTCCGTGAGGATTACTGACTGTGCTCATCTTGTGTGTTTCTGGAGCATTTCCAGGTTGAATGTGAATTCTCTCTCATTCACACAGTGTGTTTATGGAAAATGTGCCATTAAAGTGTCTCCTTTCCTTAGAAAATGAAACTCCTCTTGTCCTTCTGCAGGCTTGCAGAGTATTGTTAGTGTAAATCCTTTGAACACAGATGGCAGAGTATTTTAACTTGTTCTGGGGAAAACAAAATAAAGCAAATCTACCAAAACTTAACAACTAAACCCGAAGAGGACCTGCTGTTCAATTTTCAAGGGCCTTGTCACTCAACAGCTGTTAATTTTTATGTCAGATTGTGGTGTGTGTCCTCTGTGTGGTTGGAGAGTCCATCCTAGCAATGGGAACCTTGCCATTCCAAGTTTGCTTGTTTGTTGGTTTGTGGGTTTGTTTTTATAAATAATATTCCTGTGCTTATTACAACTCTGAGCAGTTTTGACTATTTAAACCTGCTCAAAAATGAAGGTAAACTCTAAAAAGAATGAAGGGTCAGAGTGAGAGTTGAAAATGCTAGTATGAGAATGAAGAACAGCAACTGCCAGCACACCATTTAAGCTGCTGTTTCCAGTGCCTGGCTTACCTGGTATGTGGAATTATCTACTCCTCTTGTCCCTTTTGTGGCTTCTTAAAGTACTCATGCTACTGTCCACAGCCTGTTTCTGAGTGTGGGTGGGGAGCAGGAATCGCCTTCTCATTTCAAAGAAAATACTAAATGACAAAGGATATGAAACCAAAAAGACTGGCAACTGTTAAGGACAGCTTACTGTACATAATAGAAAATTATGAACTCTAAACAGATCCACATTTGCCATTTTTTTGAGTCACCGTGTGTGCACATACACATTACTCAAGCACAGGTAAGACACTAAAATAATTGTTGTAGACTGCAAATGAAGTTCAAATCTTGTTTTTCAGAGTTGAATTTCAAGCTGCATTCTCGGGGTAAGAAGGAAAAGATTAACTTTGGTCCCACTCAACCTTGTCATATATTGAAACAAACCGAATTAAAAGGCATAGGCACATAAAATCTCCCAGCTACTAAAAAATGAGCAAGCCACTTCAGAAATTCCTGCAGGGCTGTTTTGCTGTTAATATCTACTAATTATGTCAATGTAGTATTTTCCTGTATTAACACCAGACAGAAGATGGGCATAAACTACCTTAATCATTTTTATTTCACAAACATGAAAGCTGTAAGGCTGTTCATTGTTGCTTTTAATTCCAACCTGCCATTTGCTGTAGCTTTAATTTTTCTTCTAGGAGAGACTTTCTGCTACAGTTTCTCTCATTACTGTGGAAAACAAACACTTTCATTCCTAAAACCAATTCTATCTATTCTTTTCCCACCCAAACTGCCAAGTCTACGGTAACAGAACTAAACCTACAGAAACATAACCACCACAAGAAAACTTGTAAAACTCAAGCTAATAGAAGACATCTATTAAAAATGCAAGCCTACAAAGCAGCTAAACATAGACGTGCTGTTCCCATGCATGTCTTCCTGTGTATCATTACTTTCCTCATGCAGCAGGTGGGGAAACAGCTAGCTTTGTTTCCTCAAGTTACAGAGTGTGCAGCAAACTGCCTGTAGTCTCAGACTTGTAAACTGAAGCTACAGACTTGCGTGTGTGTGCGCTTTAAGGCACCCAGGGAATTTTTCAACTCCTTTTATGAGCTGTTTGTGAAAGTTCATTATCCAGTATAACAGTCCTTGAACATGAAGCAAAAGTGCAACCTTAGAAAAATCAATGAACAAATCAAGGCTAAAATTGCTGTACAGTGCAAGGACAAACTTGTTCGGAAAGCCAAATCGTCCAAACTTGAGAGGCTGGCAAAGCTACTCCTTGCAGCTGTAGCTACACCACCCCCACCCCTCAGTTCAGTAACTCAGCACAAGAACTCTGCTAAACTTTACAAGTGCCTAAGAGGAAAGAAATCCCTTTTAAGGAAGCATTTTGTGAAAGTCAAGTGCTGCTATTCTACATGCTCATTCCATTCCCTTGTAGAAACAGAACAAGAGTTGCATACACGCATGTTTCTTTTCCTTTCCCTGTTCTTAGCTTCTGCACCAGTTGTTCGCCAAAAATAAACACCATTCCACAACCATATATGTGCAACAGCCTTCTGGTGGTTCTGAGCCCCCTTCAGCACCGCCGTTACTCAAGGCCAGGAGACTCTCTTCTTTCTGACACGCTCTGATGGGCAATGCATATAACCCAGCTGAATCAGGAGTGCCTTTTACATCTATTTTCTTTTCTGGACAAAAATAGTAGGAAAAGTTTAGCAAAAACATGTCACAAGTTGCTAGAAGTGTTTCAGGATCCTTTGCTGTGGTCTTTGTTGAACTTTCATTCTCCAGCGGAACTAAAGAAGGATAATTTTCTCCTGGGACCTGCTTTAAAATACTTATCCATCTGCTGGTATTCAGAGAGAGTCAAGGTGTGTAACATTGAGGACTGGATGAAAAACAATTTCCAGAAAGACTTCTGTAACAGGCATGAAAACACTGTCAATGATTTTTTACTAGAAGTTTGCAACAGGTACGTTCTTTGGGTGTGAAATGCTACATCTACTGGAAAGGTTAACTGCCTTGAAATGAGACAATTGAGAGCTATTTACTCCAGTTAACCTACCTGAAATGGAGCATTAAGTACGTGAGTGCTTTGACTTTGCAGTTTTCCTGTAGTTTTAAGCTGATTTTATAGTGGCAATAGCATATACTTCATATTGACTCTCCTTAAGCCTATTTTTTCCTTCTTTTTTTTTTGAAGAATGAATAATTAATACAGCAAAAGTGCAATACTGCCTACTAAATTGCTGCTTAACTGAAACTTACTATTCTGGTAGTGCAAAGCATTGTCCTGGGGGAGGGGCTAGAGGAAAGATGTGATTTCAAATAGTGACTATATGTCATAACAGAACCAAGTTCATTAAACATGCTACTAAACACCAGATTTGTTTCATTCTAAGAAATAAGTATTGCTTTTATACTGAAAATTAACTCTGTCTAAGCTTTTTATAAACTACAGTAAAGGAAAAGAAATGCCACTATGGAAAAGCAGCTCTGGGTGCACACCATTTCTTGTAACAGCTTTACTGCTTCAAAGCAGCTCTAACAAAAAAAAAAACAACATTACATCAGGAGGAGCAAACAGGGTAAAGCCAATCCTAGTTTTAGTAACACTGAGGATGGCTGTGGTCCTAAGATTAGAGCTGAAAGGGGCATGCCAGTGCCTATCCTGAAGTGGCACACCTTTGTGCCGCAGCCAGTCTTCAGCTTTGTGCCACAACACGGAAGGCAAAAAATTCTATTTGGAAGTAACAATTTAAAAACCCCAACAAATTACAGGATACTGACAGGACACAGTGTCTTGGTGAGAACCAGCAACAGCGTAATCTCAAAACAAGGACTGAAATGTAGGTTCAAAACAGAACATTAAGTTGCAAGTACAAAATTTCAGAAGTAACTGTTCTAGAACAACTGAAAAAAAATTTGGATTAATTAGCAAAGTATCATTAGGAAGCACATCTGTGCCTACAAAGGAGGGTGTAGGAGGAAGTATTCTCTCATTTTGGCACTGGACTGTCTACCATAAGGCCACATTTAACTATATGCATTCTTTTGCCATCACAAATTAGGATTCAGAAAGAGGACACAAGACCACAGCTCTGCAGAAATGGTTTAACATTTAAGTGCCTTTATCCTCTGCAGAATCCATAACCCCAAACTGGTTGCTGGACAAAATTCAAAGCAAAGCCTGGGTAGTAAGCAACTCAAAGTCCATTTAAAAGAAAAAAAATTAGCAAGTACCTTTCAGCCTTACATGGATTCATTTCCATAAGTTAAACTGAACTCTTAAAAAAATGACCGTTTATATTGCTGCTCACCCCCCTGCCCCAAGTCATCCATTTTAGCCTTCCTAAGGCAAACTCCCACCTTCTTTTGCAGCAATGCATTGAAAACATTTCCATCCGAACAAAATTCCTAGCGTTCTGTGCAAAATAAAACACAAATTAAGCAAATACACAGCTTTTCCTCCCTGAGTTTGGAGTACTTTTATTCTGTTGATGAAGCCACAAGGGGTGGCAGGTTGGAGCCTTTCTTGACCTTGCCTGCTTTAAAACATTTTTTTTTTCTCTAACTGTTCATAAGTGTAAAGGAAAAGAGTTTAAAAAAAAAAAAATCATGCAGCTGACATGATCTCACTTTATTACCTCTGCTCAAAAGGTGAAATCAAGCAGCAGCAGGGGGATGGAGTGGTGCATAAAGAAAGAGGAATCTACTACGTACCAGTTTTGAAAGACAAAAGCATGCTGCAGTGACGGCAGAGCCCCTTGTTTGCCCGCACTGCTGTTGTACACCTAAAACCCTGATACAGGCTGTAAGCACAACTCTTTATATGGAACTGCTGACAGACACCTTATAGTTAGAGGGTGGAGGCAGGCTAATAGTTCTGTCCAAAGGTCTCACAAGGTCAACATTAGCATTGCTGTAATCATTTCTCCCCGCAGCAACAGAGCCTAAAGAAGTCCTGTGCTAATGGAGAAACATGAAGCTGCATTTAACTAAATAGCTCGAGAGCTGAACTGCTGCTCCCCAGAGAGAGGTGTAAGCCAGAAACCAAACGCTTTGTACGAAAGGCTTTGCAGGTTGGTGCACAAGGACGCAAACATGCCTGGTCAGCACAACAGCTAATAACAACTGGTCTGCTCCAGTTTTGTGCACAAGGACAGTTAGTGTAAGTCATCGACACACGGACTTGGAACAGGCCTTTTCCATACTTTCTCAGGTCTACCCAAGCAACAACAAGGAAAGCTTTTATAATTTGCTGCATCATTGCTTAACAGTAGAGTTCTTACCGGTTTCAATGATTTGAAGGAAGGCTTAAGAGTTGTGCGGGGTTCAAACGTCAACACTCTTAGGTAGTAGCTGGCACCTATTCAGTAAATCCAGGGAGCTGAAATACACCCATTAATCCCCATAAAATCAAGAGTGGGAGTGTCTTACTTGCCCATGCTCAGCATATCTACATAGCGGACCTCAAATTCATCCTGACTTGCATCTCATCTCTAGTGGGTCTTCATTCGCTGCGCTCCGAGAAGCGCAGAACCATGCAACTCCTTAAGAAAAAACAATGCAGCTGCAGCTTAAATAGGCATCTGCGTCCCCTTCTCCACTATGCCAACTGAGATATAGATGTTGCTACCGTCAGAAAAAGCAAAGGAGGTAAGTTTTGCAATTAGTAAAGCTGAGCATTAAGATCTATGTATGTCCCCACATACTCATGCTTTCTTACCCATCCTGATGAAAGAGGAGGTATTTTTCTAACTTTCGTATTTATTCTTGATGATACTAGCTTCTCCACGCTCTATTACTTTTTTTCCCCTCATCTCACTTGTAACAATCATGTTTTCAGATGTCCAAACCTGCTATCTCTGACCCTCTCTGGATGTGGCCATGTTACAGATGATTGCATCTTGCTTCTTCTCAAGAACTGCCCAAACCTCAAGACACTTAAACTGGAAAACTGTGTACGGATCACCGACCAGACACTAGAAGCAGTGACCCTCTATGGGGGATCACTGCGAACGCTCCATGTGGATTTCTGCCGGAACATAACACAAACTGGTCTAGAGAGAGTCAGGGAAAAATGTCCTTCAGTAATGCTGAGAGCAGACAGAAGTGCTAACATGATTCCAGACAATAAGCCAGAAAAAAAGTTGATGCTTGAAAAAGCATCAAGAAAATTGGTTCAGCTTTAAGTGCAACAAATTGTATAAACTTAATGTGGGTATTTTACTTCACTTCCACTTTCTTCTTGGGTAGCATTGCTTCAGTGAACCGTGGCTACTTTCCTGCATTCTGGCTTAAGTCAAACAAATGGTTGATATGTTTTGTAAAGGCTCCACTGGGAAAAGGCATACACGTCCACCAGGACAGTCTTAAGGAAAAAACCCATTTGCTTTCTGTTGTTCCTTGAAACTGGAAGACCCTGCATTGCTGTCACAAAATGCTAGACCTGATTGATTAAGGCTGAAAACTGCAATTTTTATACCCTCTTGTCATGGACGAGTGGAGTGCACCTCACTCAGAAGAGAGAAGCAGCAACATATTTTATTGAGGTAAAATAATAATTTGACTGAGTTCAATAAATTCCATGGAATTTAACAAAGTCTAACAGTGGCATGACAAGGTTCGATAAGTTTGATGGCAAGGTTCACCTTATTAATTACTGCATGGAAGAAACATACAAAAGGAAAATCGAGTTAGAATGATCCAACACAGAGACCAGAGAGGCAAAGAGTAAGGAAGACCCTCCCGTTGAGTCCCGAGGTTCAGAGTGGACCCCCTTGCTTTCTGAACTCCTTATGGAGGAGCCTAGGTGCGGCTGGATCCAATCTTAGTCTCAGACTTGGTCAACTGTTCAGGTCTAATGGAAGAGATACAAAGAGTGAGGAAGACCCTCCTGTTGACTCACGAGGTTCAGAGTGGACCCCCTTGCCTTCTAAACTTTTATGTAATGGGAGAGGGCATAAAGCTGCAACAGACAGAGCCTGAGTAATTGTATGATTTACAGAAATTTCAGGGAAAGAATTTCTGTTAAAGGATACATCCATATGGTCATTTCATCTGCTAAGGGTGATAACCACGCCATGTAAGATCTTTCTAGCAAAAGCAGAGTACCCGACAACCATCACTTCCTCAGTGATTAACACTGGTAGCTGATTTGTCAGGCTTATTTACAAAATGAGGGATGCATGGCAATGTGCACAAAACACAGTTTGACCCTTTGCATAATGTACTTTGACAAGATACACAAAGTTATTTTTTTAGAGTTGACATTAAAGGAAGTGCAATATGAACAAATGCTAGTTTATGTAACTAACCTACAAGAAAGGACAGTGACTTACAACCTGTAGCTTTAAATGCTAAATTAGGAACACACTACAGTACAGATCTATACGAACATCTGTTTCTCACTGCAAAGTACAAAACAAATAGCTATTTTCATCCCAAACCACAAGGCTGTCACTTTCCTGCATGCTGCTCAGCTACATGATACTGAAACTTTTTTTTTTTTTTAAATGAAGGGTTGCTATGGCATTGTCTACAAAATTTGACACCAAAGGTTGGCAGAGTTTTATTCTGCTCTTTAAAATTTGCCTTGATACAGCACAGTGGGATTTGGTCGTGGCATCGAGTAACACCACATTCCAAGACTCTTTATGCACTTACAGGGTTTTGCCTGAGGAAAGGTAAACATTTCTGAGTGCCACCTTACTGTGTCAACTGTACTGCAGTTACCTGTCAAAATTTTACTTGTTGACTCTGTCTCAGTAGAATAATACAGAAAAATCATTGTGATCATCTGGTTTGAATTATTCAAGTTTTTGTTTGAACTACAGCATGCTTTTTTAAAAAGCACCTCAAACCCTGTGCTTTACTCCATGTGGGAGCATGTCCTCAAATTCTGCTTTCCATTATTTTCCATTTTGTTCGGCAATTCTGACATGAATTCAGAATTCTGACTCCTAGAGAGCACATTGTAATATATAATCCTGCCCATTCTTGCTGACTCCGCAGCTGAACTTGTATTTACCTTAAATCTCTCTCCCATTCAGTACAATCCACTGAAGAACTTTACACTTACAAAGAATGACAGATGGCTAAATCTGGCCATCAGAAACTTAGTTTCCCCTAGAGGACCAGATGTCAGTTCAGCTTAGACATCAAACGGAAGGCTGCATACAGAGCAATTTGACAAACTCTGTGGATCCTGAATAGTTCCAGCTTAAATCACAATGAAGCCTACAGCAGTTAAGATTTCACTTTAAATTAAAACCTTACACAGAGTAGGACTACCTGGGTGTGTGTGTCCTTAAAATTAAAGCAAATTTAGAAATATTAGCTTTTGGAAATACTGGTCTGTCCCATAAAGACAGTCAACATTCCTGTTCCTTTACGTAACAATTATTCAAGATTTTGTCACTACAGCAATCTATGTGCATATACCATAGCGAGCCTGTTTCTCATTTACACGAGGGACTCTGCAATTGTTGATAATTAATCTTACTGCACTGTTAACAGAACACTGATTAAATTTGCTAGTTAAACCCACATGAATTAGAACTTGCATTGCTGGAATTCAAGTATATCAAGACTATCACGGTTTAAAATAACCTGATAGCTTTGTTGCATTTTAACAGTTGTATCTACAGGTGTAGCTTTGCAGACTTACTATTTGCATTTTTATCTTTTATATAACTGGAAGACTACAAGAGCTAGCTTTTCTTCTAAGGAACAGAATTTATGACTTCTTAAAATGCTATTTAACAAATTATTAAAGGTTGTCACAAATATCTAACGTGATACATGTTTTTCTTTAAATTTAGAGAACAGTGTGACTGTAGTACCTCTCTAAAACAAAAAGGATGTGTGAAAAGCTATTATTGAAGTAAAGCAGACCTTTCCCTCCTCTCACTGGCATCTAAACTGTAGGAAAAAATTTCTGAAGTTAGGCCTCAAATACTTAGGAATAAATGGTTTGACTTTCCAATTTCTCGCTGTATTCTTTTTACAATACTGTTGCTCCTTTTATTAAAGCTATGTGGAGAAAATACTTGGGGTGTCACAATGGTAAACTTGGCTCTGATGCCTCAGGTAGTCTTGAGAGAAAGATTTATTTCAACTGATACATTGTCTTTTGTTCATGTCTGAACAGAAAGAAAGGAAGCATACGATCAAATTTCCACTTGAAGCCAATTTTTACTGCAAGAGTAGTACTGTAAAATTTTATTTCCAATCAGTTTCTCTAGGAAGATAAGTTTCAAACAATCTCAGCAGAAATATTTTAATAGATGACATTCCTAGGGCTTATTCTTTCCTCTGCAAGAACTGATGAGCTAGCTATGAACTCCTGAAAACATTCTTTACGTGATGCATCAAAAGTGGAAAGAGGACTTTACAGCTCTCAACATAACTGAATATACTTACTCCGCCTTTCCATCCTGGCCAATTGATCCACAGATATCCTTTGGTACTCTCTAATTTGGCTGAGACAAGAAACAAATCACAGCATTACAGAAACTTAGTCAAATAGAGCTAAAATTCTAGAGAAGTATTTGATCAGTATGAGTATCCATAAGAAACACTCACCCAGAAGACAAATAAAGAAAAGAATTTCATTATTGCATCTTCACAACTTAGAGACAGTTAACAGCATGACACTGTAATATTCTGGTATTTCATTAACTCATTCCTAAAATTTAAGTAGGACCCTTATGCACTACAAAGTAAGGAACAAAACTGGAAGCACAGACAGGAAGGACAAACAGCAATCCTAAAACAGCATTTACAGCTTGGAAAGGAGATTGCCGGGCTGAAACTTATTACGATGTGGAAACTGCGATGTTGACACAATTCCTACCTTGGATACACAACTGGTGAAAACACACCCGTTTCACATATTGCTGACAAGCCAAAACAAGATAGGAATTCTATATAGTCACATGAGTAACCAAAGACCTTCTCTTGATGCCAGCTCTCTAAGCACTCTGTGATGAAAGATGCATCTCTGTAGATGTAACACCGAACAGATTTTCAAGTAGCTACAAGATATGAAAGCGGGTTTGCATCTGTCTGCATATTATTTATGCCTTTTTGCCAGTTTTATATTAGGACTGTTTCAGGGGGTGGGGATGGGGGACAGGACAACAGTGGTGGTGTGGTTTTTTCCTTTACAGAGCTAAAAAGGGCCTTGGAACCCTCTCCCACTTGGTTTCTTTGCCTATTTGTGTACAAATGCTCAAAGTCGTATTACTTTGCTCTTCCCCTCCTTGAGTGGGGATATTTGTTCATGACATGGTAAAATTTGAACACAGTTGTGTTAATAAATTTTTTCAGCATCAATAATAAATTTCCTTACTTAGCAATCCAATTTGAAAATTGAGTGTATAATGATTACATTTTACTTAGGGTACTATGTAAGGATGGAAGCATGTTAGCAGTTTTCTTTAGTTCCAAGCCATTTGAGTTCCATCAAAGTACTCTTAACATTACTGAAACATTTTTTACTTTTCACATACCCTAACTAACTTACCAGGTATAGAGGGAGGAACGCTTGTTATCTATCATCTTATGAAAGTACTAAAAGAAAGGTGACATAAACCAAGATGCCTACTTGGAAGTTGCATCAGGTTATCAGATGCCAGTGGCAAACGAGACTTCATGTGCCTTTTCCTACACAATAGAGGAAAAGCAACATCCAGAAGACCCTTCAGATTTCCATTGTGATAACGTAGCTCAGCTAAGGTAAAAGGAAATTAAATGAAGTCCTGCAGCACAGTAAAATTGCTTACTTACCAGCAACAGTATTTTTTTCCGCTGTTAAACTTCATCACCCAGTCAAAAGTGCTAAATGACAGATCTAAATCAAACTTCCAGACCTGACCTGACCACTTGTTCCCCTCTTCTGAGGAGAATACTACTGTTCTTACCAGTCCCCTCTAAGCATGACAGGCATGCATTCCACCTACCACTACATTCCAGCTCTGTCAGATGAACCAACACTACTGCTGCTAGCTCCAGAAAGAGTGAGGCTTCACCCAGTTAAAGTAACTTGCCTACATCTAGTCTCAGGACTGGCTGTTCATCTTCTCTCTGTGGTAGTGTGCCTACCTGTTTCAAATGGCTATCCAGCTGTCTGATAGCCCAAAAGGCTACAGATGTACTTCCCTTCCAAGGTGGGAAAGGAAAAAAAAAGTAGGAAAAAGCAATTGGAAATATCAGAGATGGTAGAGAAGAAATTATCTAATCCCAGGGTAAAAAGAGGGTAAGAAACAGAAATTATGGGCTTCAGGAAGCAACAGCCTTATAAACCAGAGCAAGCGATTGCTTCTTGAGAGTTATCTGAGGTGTAAGGAAAAGGTTAGGTACTACTCATGTACAGCAAAAGATAAGCAGAAGCAAATAGTAGTCATGTTCAACAAGAGACGCAGGCTTTCGGCATCTAAATGCTTTCCTATACAATACATATCCAGCACATTGCTTTTGTGGCTATAGCTTTTCAAGCTGTTTTTCTCTAGTTACATTTAGAATTTAATACTTCTAAGCTTACTGTGCCTCCCTATCTCATATTAATTTGAAATGGGTCTGGATGAACACATTGTCACACACCTGTTCTTACCTCTGATATGCATTTATTACCACTTATACTCCCCGATTCAGTCATACAACATATGTCACATCCAGTGCTGAAAGGTGGAAAGGAAATGACATTTGGAAATCCCTTGCAGTCCACATTGCTACAGCCAGCTCTGCCTAGTGCAACAACACTGCCACTGGAAGGTTTGTTACAAGATAGACTGCATATTTTTTCTTTAAATAAGTGCATATATGATCTACTTTTACTACAGAATGCAGACATACACCGGTAATATTTATTCCCCTTTCTATATAGGGAGAGGTTTGCATACATAAAATATCCTTGAAGTGACATAAAGTTAGAACTTTCTCAGATGGTCTCCAATAGTAGGACATAACCAGTGCTGCACATTCTTTATCTTTGTATGCAATTATGTATAAGAAGCATTATGCAAGAAACTTGAACATGATTTCAGTCTTACTCAGACACCTGAGCAACAGAAAAATGTCAATCAGCAGGTTAAAAGGACTGTATGCACAATGTAATTGTGGTGAAAAAAACAGTAGGATAAAATAAAAATAATAAAGCGCTTGATAGTTTTAATGATGCTAAGATAGAATATTCAAAGGACAAGCACAAGCAATAAAAAGTGTCTCAATTAAGCAATCAAGCACAATTCTTTAATCAACATCAGCATTTACCAATATCAACATCCCCTTTCACTTCACTGCAAACTGCCTCCAAGAATACCCTCATTATCCAAGCAGCCAGCTGCATAGTCCATACAAAACTGCAATTTTTAGGCACAGTTCTATTATTTTCTGTGCCTGATTGAAACAGACTGACAAATTAGTAGCACTAATTCAGACACATAAATGAAGTCTAGCAGGCAATAATACAGGACTTTATACAGCAGTTTCCCCTTTTATTTGTAACCTTATATTTGTTATGTATTACACGTACAAATTTAGACCAAGATGTGAATCTACTCCCCCACAACATAGTGATGGGACACCAAAATCTCAGTCCAATTTGGAATCATAATACATAATAAGGCAGCAAACTAAGTCTGTATGATTTCAGAGCCCTGAGTCACTCCTTCCCCAGAACTACTGAAAGCCCCCCCGCCTCTAGATGTTTCATGTTGCAGTCTGGTTCTTGGTCATAGCTCAAGAACCTTTTGCCTTTTTCATGAGCCAACAACTAGTCCTAGCTGAAATAACTTCACCAGGTAAAACACAGACCTGCAAACTTTTACAGTTTATGTATCAAGTCAGCCCTTTGACCGCTAGCAGCTGGCAGCAATACACCAATTCAGTCTGAGACAACTGGGAAGCTTCCCTATCAATCCCTGCTAACGTACAACAATCACATGAGGGAAAACAACAGGAATTTCTACCCTCTTCTCCAGACTCAGACAAACCAGTCTTGTCCCAGGTGAGATTAAGTTAACAAATGTTCTTGCTAGCCTCCAGGCCCCACAGCACCATTACCAAGGAGTTCAGTGAGAATGGGGGGGGCGGGTGTGAGGGGGTGGAAAATCAGGGCAGAGCAGCAGTGTCTCACCTGGGGACAGACTCTACCCTTTTCCTCAGCCCAGTTAAATCCAACCTCCTGAACACCAAGCCGCATTTGTGGTTTGACACAAAATCATGTTTTTGATAGACACACGGGGGAATTATCTATTCTTCAGCACTTCCCTAAGACACACAACAAAAATGTCTTTGTACAGTACATTACTGTCCTAACTAAATATGAACATTACTGTGTAAGCCACACCCTGCTGATCATAATACAATTACAGCTGCAACAAAATAAGACCAAACACATGCAATTTACTAAAATCAAAGGCACAAATTAAGAACGTATATAAAATCCATAGTCTCAACTACCACCCTGTCACTTTCATTTTAATTTTTTTGTACTCTGATCAGGAATCAACTACATCAATCTGTGTATCGAAAAGGTTTTTTTTTTTTTTTTTGACAAAAGATTTAAAGGTTTCTAAGTCAAGGTGGCAGTATGTTATTATTGTCAACAACTAATACACTGGCGGATAAAAATGTTTAAATGATATTCAAGAAGGAATCAAGTACAATGTTAACTTGTATTGAAGTATGAGGAATAAATAAATAGTGGTATACCCGAAAAAAGCCAGTACCTCAAAGACATTAAGAACGCAGAGCACAGTACTACACATCAAATTTGTTGAAGATAAACATTTTAAGATGCTTCAAATGTCACATCTTGTCTAAACACTGTAATACTATAATTTCCTGAGACAAAATATAAAAGTATGAATACTGAGTAAACCAATCACAGTTCACAAATGCATACAAGCAACCAATTCTTGAATTTGCTTTATTTTTCTCTGCATAAGGAACCCTGCACAGGCAATTCAAATTAAAACAAAATAAATATGTGAATATTCATGTAAAACTGTCCTTGCTAATGAACAATTATACACAATGTACAACTCTTCATGTTCACTGGGAGGGCTTACAAACGTACTATTCCCAACAAAAATGCACCAAAATGTCTCCATGCAAACTTATCAAAAGTGACCAAAAAAGGAGGAAAAAAACTTACTGATCAATACTTTTTTGTTTTCTTTTTCCTTTTTTTCTTTTTTACAATCACAAAAAAAAATAAAAACATCTAATTTTTTGTTACATTCAGAGTAACTAAGATGTGGCCACTGTCTATTAACACCTGTTTTTATGCTCCTAAAACATCTATGGTTACTGTAAAATTATGTCAACAATGAATTGGACTTAGGGCACTATTTGTAGTAAAAGGAAGATGATTTTGTTCACAGAATGTTAATAATCTGTGTCTGAGCCCTCTGCATTGTCCACATTCCGTGAGAGCATATAATTGTCCATATCTATAGACCTGCAATTATTGATTGCATAGCGCAAACGCTCTGCCATGATTAGTTGACTGGAGTAAGGTGGGAGCCTCAGTTGAAAGAAACAAGTCTGTGAGGTAGGCAAGCTGTCGTAAGGCTGTGGAAACGGATAAAAGGTGGGACACTGTTAAGTTGTGAATGAAGCAAAAAATGCAACATATCCATATTTCATTGCTCCCTCCCTTCCTTGCCTCTATCATTCTAGAATTCAAGCATTTTCACATTCGATCTCAAAATTCCTTTTAAGAAGCAGACTAGCCTCCCTTGTTTACATCACTTGTTTCATTGTTAAGTATGTGCAAAACTACTGCTGTATCACCTGCTCTGTAAATAACTGAACCCACTAATGAAATTCAGCTATTTGAAAAGTTCATCACACTACTACTTAGCAGCCCACTGGGAGATACCAAGCAACATTCAAATTACATACCATAGCGTGACTTAACATGAGGCAATTTGAGAGACACCTAACCAAAGATGATAGTCAAACCACTATTATTTTAGATTTTGCCAAGTTTTTGACTGATGTAGTTCACAGAGAATGTGCTTTCACTGCACAAAACCCAAAAGTAATGCCAAATGAATGATCCTGTATGTAAAGAAATATATTGTAAAGTCATTACAGTGGTTTTAAGTTGTTAGAATTCACTAGTGGTCACACGTTACCACTTATACAGATTTAAAACTTAAAGAAAAAAAGAGTGAAAATTATCAAATGAAAAAAGGGTTTGTAACTTGTCCACAATCATTTTCTGTTCCAATACAAGAAGGTTTGTTTCTTGTGCAAGAAGTTGTCTTGACCTCCAAGCATATAACTATAGTAAATGCACCAAATTAATTAAGATGCAATTCATGCAGCATATGCACTTCTACACATTTAAAATGTTTGGTTTTAATAGCTCAGAGCATATCCCATCCCACACTTCCTTTGTAAATTTACAATTATGGAAACCTGTCTCCCGTTGCCAAAGGGCAGATTATACTAGACAGGAATAAAAAAAAAAAAACAACCCCAAAACTGAAAACAGCATCTTACCCTATCAACCTTCATTATTTGGAATCGCTGAGAGATATCAGCTGTGTTGGCTGGCAATCGAGATCTTCCTGACACAAACCTCATGAAAAGGACTCTCTCTTCATTTGAAAATTCCTCAAGGGTATGCCAGAACCATTGTACTAGCTGATGCTGCTCATCAACTTCTCTGTATCGCACAACTTTCTTCAGAACTTCAACTGATATTTCTGGCATTCCACAGACCATTTGCTCCAACTGCTTGGCAGTCAGAAGAGACAACAAAGGAACCGGAACAATCCAAGACATTCCTTCTCTTACAGCAGCCACCTATTGCCCAAAAAAGAAGAGACATTTGAAGGGCAATTGTCTTACCTCTGCCACTTACTGTACCATCCAAATGCAAAAGTAACATATCAGCTGAGAAATGGGATAAAGAGATAGAATTACAGAACATCTGCCAAATACAACCTCCCACACATGCATCCCCTGTAAGGGCTGTCTCCTCTCTCAAAATCCTGGAGAATATTACAGGTATTTTTAATTGTAATTGCACATTAAAGAACATATTTTTGATACAAAACAGAAGAACTTAAAAAAGTACAAGTTACCAGCACAAATGATGGCGGCTAAACCAAAAAACTGTGTATGTACCATACATCTGAGCTGGAACAAAGTCATATTTGTAAGAAGTCCGTACTTGTTCTAGAAGACTTAGGATTTGGTACCTCTGATGATAAAGTTACTTTTCTAATGCAGATAATATCATGCATGCATCTGCATCTTGAGAAAAAGGAAAAGAATTTCCCTAGCATGGGATTAGTATACTGCTTTCACAAGCTTCACTATACAAATCATAAAATACATATAAAGTATGCAAATAGCTAATTAACACATCTCAAAACATATAATGAAATATTTGTAGTTTCTGTGCTAAAGCAGAAGAGAAACAGTTTGAAGTTCAACAAATGTTTGTCAATATATTTACTTTAGCTAGTCTCTATGTTGCTATAACATCTAATTACAGTGCACAACATGCACAATTGCAGGTTATTTTCTCAAGTCGGGCTGACAGTTGCAGTGGGGCTACTCTAATGAAAGACAAGTTCTGATTTCTAACACACTTTTTGTCAACTGAGCAATTACTAAGAAAAAGGGGACTAATTTAAAACAAAACCCCAGAACAGTTTGTGGGGGAAAAAAAGCCACGGGGACCCAGGTGAGATGCAGAACGCCAAGCTTTTCTTAAACCCTAATAAACTGTAATGGACTTGCATAAATCAAAAACACTGTTCGCATTAACAATGGAGATAGGGTCACAATGAGATTCTTACCTGACGGTCCATTTCATGGAGTCTGTACTCAATTGCCCTCTCCACATATTCTTTCCTGTTTGAAAAGGTAAGTGGGATACTGTTCCCTCCAGGGATTATGGGAACCATTTTACCATCAGCACTCTGGCCAACAAAAGAATCTAAAGGAATCATCTGTTATGCAAAACAGGAAAAGTATATTCAGCGTAAGCATAAAGTCACTCTCGTGATCTAAGTCTAGTATTTTACTATGTCACCTAGAACTATAATAAGATCACAAACTATTCCAAATACACATCAAGTGCTTGTTATCCCAATAATGGAGACATTGAATTATATAAATACTGAAGTGAAGGTCAATCTGATAAAGTAACTGCTTTCAGAATAAACCTAAAAGCTCCAACTTTCATATCTTACCTCATGGAAATTTTCTTCAGTAATCCCACTGTCTTCAATGTGAAGAATGCTGTTGAGGGTCTGCACATAGAGCAGATCTACCTCCTCCAAATCCTCCAAGATGAGTGGGATACAACAAAGTTGCTTCCAGACCATTGGAGCCAAATGAAGATCTAATGGCTTTTTTGTACGAATAGCTACACCCATGAGAATGCCCAAGAACTTAAACTGCATCAGATGTTCATCTAAACATGCTGAAGGGTTAAAGAGAAACCTGAAAGAACAAAGAATCAGTGAAAATACTCTAGTATCATTTCTATGCTACTTCATTAGACATAAAAGACAAAACATTTCTAAGCTCAGCATAGTAACTGGCAACACAATTATCAGCAAGGTGTGTCCAAATAAGAAGATTATTGTTATCTTTAGCTGTTAAAATAATGGAGGCCGAGATAGGCAGAACTAATCCTGACCGCAAAGGCTGGCATTCTCTAAGTTACTCTGAATTCTGCCATCAGAAATCCAGGAAGTTCATGTTAAAACCATGCCCTCTCCTCCACAATAAAGTAACATCACAACCTGAAGGAAAAAATATACCAGAGACAATCATGAAGTCTCATCATTTGGTATAAAACAGTTAATAGAAGATTTTATCTTCACCCACTAACATCTGCAATAAAAGCAAATCCTGGACGACTTACCTATCCCTATTATAGCCTACTTCAGCTGTAGCATTTGGGGAAGGAATAAGCATGTCTACTATTCCAGTTTCCAGCTCCTTAAAAACAAACAACACAAAAGCCTTCTTAGACCAGGGACAACAAACCTATTACAGAAATATTATGACATTATAGCATTACAAGACACAATATTCCATTATAGTGATGATTACTTCTTACAAATTCATGTGAAATGTTTAAGAGAAAGTAAACATGGTAGGGATGATTTTTAGTAATAAAAACATGTCTATTTCAAGACCTGCCCTTATGACAGACTATAATGGTTATTTTACTGTGAATGCTCTGTGATACATTCCTGGTACCTGTTTCAGAACTAATCAGAAGCCATCAGCTATACACCCTACTGGTGCAGCTTTTTCAAGAACCAAAAATGAAGCGAATTTTTCAATGAGTTCTGTTCTGAACCCTCATCACACCTCATATTTAATGTAAACTGTCGAGGGAAGAACCCAGAAATTACACTTCAAGTCCTTACCTGAATCAACCCTACTCTTAGGTCTTACAGGCTTCAGAAATTCTATTAATAAACGGAGTTCTTCAGTTTCTTCCATCCTGTATCCTAACTCTAACTCCAGTGCCAGCTCCAGCACTACCCATAGCTGTTGCCCTGTCCCAGACTAAGCAGATACACTGATTATCCTCGCTAATCCTCAATTCTTTGGGTTTTGAGGCTCCTGGAAGATTAAGGAAAAACCAAACTTCTCCAGCCAGCATTATCTTGAATCCTTCTCCTAGCTACAATCATAGCTGTGTCACAGGGTTGAGATACATCTTTAAAACTATAAGCAGTACATATTAGCACTGACCAGCTTTACCTTAGTCCTGGTAGTCTGAAGCCTTCAGATTCACTTGGAAACTGAAGATGACAGCTACGTTGACAATAGCAACAATACCCTTGTTACAGACAGGCAAAAATGTGCACTTTCTGCTACTGATCTCCTTTCCAGCACTGAAGCTGAGAGGTGACACATATGAGAAACACCTGCCTGAGGTGTTTCTGTATTGTATGCATGGAATATACTGTAATCATGGAATACAGTACAACTTCTCTTATAGAAGCTATTGGCTGGACAGAATGGGAAGCTGGAAAATGCTCTCATAATGCATAGGGGCTATCTCAGAATTCCAAGGGGCCTACTGTAATACTAATTATAGTGTGGCCTCATGGCATCTCCTTGCCACAATCTAGGAAGATTTCTTTATCCTCAGAGACATCCCTAAGTAGGCAGCTCTAGTGCTGTGGCTCAGGACTGAAGAACAAGTATTTACTGAGCTCCAAAAATGAAATTTGAAAAATACTAAAAGACACCAGAGAGAACAAAAACTCTACTCAGGCATTTTGAACTAATAGACTTTTCATACCTGACACATTTCTGTAATAGTGTCATCAAACACTCCACCTGCATCATCAGCCCCTTCTCCAACCAGTTTCACCTTCCAGGCACGGGAAGGTAGGCGAAGGTCTGATGCATTCAGCTTTACCACTTGTCTTGCTATCTGTACAAAAATGGGCTTGCATTTCCGACCTCTTTCAAAAAAAACAAACAAAAACAAACAAACAAAAAAAGACACAGCCATACAATGAAACTCAAACACGTAAAGGCTAGTGAAGTCACTTGATTAACAAAGTTGTACAGAGAGAGCTCAGTATGCCAAAAGTTACACAACATGTATGAGTATTTGTTTGAGGTCTAATACAATGCTTGTGAAAACAATACTGACCTGGTTGATATCCTTTTCACAGTAATCTGTGGCCCGTAGTTTTTCCCCTGAACCATAGTTTTTCCTATAGAGCGTACCATGGGGAGTGTGTATACTCGTGGTGCTAGCAAGGGCCTTAGCTGTCCTTGAACTATTCCCCATGTTCCAGCATTGTAATGAGATGTACTGTTCTGCAGTAAAGCGGTATGAGAATAAATATATTAATAAATTATATTAATTCCATTCTTTACAGAATAAAAGCCTTAGTAATAATCACTAGCAATTCAATGTTTCAGGGAACAGACAGGTTAGCACTTTTTTGTTTTAGCTTTGAGGCTAGTAAGCTTTTGGAAACCGAAACATTGACATGTCATTGTTAGCATAAGTGAAAATACATAACAATACTTTGACGAAGTTTGGTTTAATCGGGATTTATATTTTTCTTTATTTATTACAAAAAACCTATAGAACCTATTACTAAGATCCATCTTGGTCTGGTCAAAAACTCTCTAGCAACATGGCATAAGACAACACAGCTAAGCTGTTTGTTTCAGTTTTGGGTTGTCCCGCCCCCCAAATGGAATTTTACCTGGTTATTGGGACTGAGGTTAAGTAATCTCCATGAAGAGTACATGAGGTCAGAAAAATGGTACAGCAGTCTGAGCCTTGCTCTTACTGTATGAATGCTCACTTCTTTGAGTGCCCCATACTGTGGTGGAATGGCATCAGGTAAACCAAGCTGTAAAGGCACTGAAACACCTACCACAGAAAAAGAAAAAAAAAGCATTATTTCATAAAGGGTAGCTGTACTGGTTTTGGCTGGGATGGAGTTGATTTTCTTTGCAGTAGCTTATGTGATGTTTAGCTGCCTACTGGAGTTAAACCATGACAATAGCAAAATTAAGAGACTAAGGTAATTTGAACAAAACAAATTTTGTCCCAAATGTTCAGAAGTTCTTGTTGCACTCATGCCCCAGGAAACACAAAGACTAAATCAAATGACCATAAAAACAGTCTCAGTTCTTCACCTGGAGCTCTTGGTGGGACAGGCGGAGCGGTCCAGGCAGCACTGTGGCAACGTCCTGCTGGAATCTGTCGAACATTCTTTCCTTGCAGGACTGTTATTAGGGTTGGTTCTCTGACATGGTTGGTATGGCCCAGTCCAAGCTGACAATTTATAACAGATGTAAAAGGGACAAAGAAGAATCAACAACTGTGATGATACTTCTAAAACTCTCTAAGCAAAAATTCAGAGCAAATGGTAAAAAATGGTACTAATCTACAGCTTATACTGGGATAAAAAATATTTACACCATCTATATCTTTCATTATGCTAGGATTTACCTTTTATTTTCAATAGAATATTGCATCCATATTCAATGGGAGCAGCAGATCTAAGTGTCAAAGAGTCCTTAAAATAGCGATTTTTGCAAGCTCTTTTGCAGACTGAGGAACTAATCTATGCTGCCAAGTCATCTATGTTGCACAGTCTTTCTCATGCATAGTCAACATAGCTCATACGTCTCCCCTTTGCCATTTTAATACCGTTTTTGTTCTAGCACATAATGTTCTAGCAATAATTTATGAAAACACAATTTGTGTAAAGAAAAAGTTTACTGAAGCTGTTCTGACTTTGTACTGACAGTTTCATATCATCATCTAGTTTCATATTCTAAAAGTGAAAATTTCATATTATGAGAGTATAATTTTTTTACCACTTTATATAAAACAGATTTTTTGCAGTGTATAAAACAGGCTGTCAGAATGAAGTTTCTCTGAATTTTTTACCCTAACAATTTTTTCTCTTCCAGAAACGCAAAGCACCCTTATAAAAAAACCCAAACAAAACAAACAAAAAAACCGCAGCCCAAAACCAGAAGAGGTTCCTCTCAGAAATTATTCTAAACAACTTGCTTAACAACCCTTCTCAAAAACTCAATCCTGAAATATCAGAGGACGAACTTTGCCCAAAATTCTGGAAACACCAACAGCCAACATAGCAAAAAGCTGCTTCTTATATTTGTAGCATGCAAAACTGTCAAAAAACTGAAGTCCCTTCAAAATTTGAGTTATACATGGGGTGAGGGAGGAAAACAGACTTTTAAGGGCAGGGATAAAATTAGGGTCCCAAAGAAAAGAGAGTATTTATTATTTACAATTATTTTTATTTCTGACTTTAAAAAATTACTCTCTAAAAAAAAGTTAATTTATATTTTCTTTATGAAAAGCATCTAAAGAGTTCACAAATCTGACTGACACCAACCATAAATGTTATGATATTAAAAAAATTTATGACAGCTCAAGAATTAGGTAAAAATTTGTAATTTTTTAAAAAAGCTTTGATTAGAATCATTTGGGTAGAATGTTTGCAGTGCTTTCCCAAACTACTACCACCTAAGAACATAGGAAATAAAAAAGAAAATAACGGAAATGCCTAAAATGTTGTTATGGCTGGGGGGGGGAGGAGAACAAAAATAAAAGCTTTCTTTTCCACCAAAATAAAAATATTCCAACCACATCTGTAAAGTGCAATTATGGCCTTACAAAGGATAGAAAAAAACAGGGAATAGTACATACCTGCCCTTCAGAGTTGCTACCCCAAGCATATACATCCCCTGTGGATGATAAAGCTAGTGTATGCTCTGCTCCTACAGCTATGTCTTCAATGAAGATTCCTGACAGTACTGGAACTTGTTGGGGTCTGTTGTGATTTCGAGCTCGACCTTCCGGCAAACCTATCAGTCGATCTAAAATTGCAAGCACACGTCTATGTATGTAAAGAACATTAAAAAGTTAATTTTACTTGCAGGCAGAAGTCAGGGAGGGACAAAAAGCAATTCTACATACTCTTGGAACTGGGACACAAGTGCAACTGGTTAGAGAGAAATCTAGTGTATATTTGCTACAAAACAGTGCTTCCTACAGTGTTCATTAATGTTGCTAAAGCTGTTTAAATCTGAAACAAGATCAAATTCTATTAAAACAAGACTTCTACATCTAAATGTATGGTTTTATAGTACATATGAATTAAATGACTTGAGAAGTTTAAACATATTTAATTCAGTGCACTTGGAAATTCTCCTGTCCAGATTTTTAAACAACTTGTGTAGGCATATGCTTTATTCGACAAAGTAAACTTTTAAGTAACCCAATGTTTTTGGACATGTTAAATTCAATGAAGTTTTAGGAAAACACTCTTCAAGAAGTAAATCAGTAAATTGAAAGGCTATCCTGAGATAAAACTAGATAGAGCTACAAATCTGGATTTTAGGCCTATGTTAAAATTGCATTGTTGAAGTTCAATAATTTAGATTAGGTCAGCACAAATCTAAAAAGTAGCATTAGGTCAGTCTTATAAATGTGTCTTAATATTCTTCCTTTTCACTTGCAATACACACAAACCTATAGATGGAAAGGTCCAAATACCAGATTGTCCTACCTTGTCCAAAAGTATACACATGACCATCTTTTGTCAATGCAACAGAGAATTGGGTTCCACAGGCAACTTTTTTTATTCCAATTCCACAAAGAATATCCACTTTCTAAGGGGTAAGTGAAAGGAAAAAGAGCTATGGTATTATGAGGATATAAACAGAAAGCAAGCATGAATTTAATCTGTAACTCCTGCTTCCAAAAAGAAATTTTATAATTCCCACTGTGCAATGCACACATTGTAGGATTACTCTAATTAATGCTTGTAAATTAATACAGGAAACTGAGACACAGTTTTCTCTTTTTCTTTAATGGAACTAACACTTTACTCTATGTACAATGATACAAAATACCTTCTATTTACTAGGAGTGAGTAGGTAGTGGCATGGGAGGAAGTAGGTGAGTGTGTAAACAACCTTCCCCCCAAATTCCAAAATAAGAAAGCTCTCTTCTTTAAGCTAATCCTAAGATTTTCACTATTTGCATTGCCACTGAGATAAGGTCACTATTATTTACGTGAAATCCTTTAAAGTATGATACTTTATCAGCATAATGTATCATCAGAATTATTTATGCTAGATTGTAAGTAGTGGATGGAATTAATAATTTAACTTCTGCAAGTTACACTCTGAACACTGCATAACACGTTTAACAACATTGAAAATTTATGCAAAGAATAATTTCTCTATGAATTCTAACCTGCGGTGAGGATTTTGCAGTGGAATTTCCCAAACCAAGTTTACCATAATCTCCATCTCCAAAAGCCCAAACCATTGAGCCATCTGTTGACACAGCTACAGTATGATTGAGTCCACAGGCCACCTGGTTGATGGAATTGGAAATGGAGAAATATGTTATTACCACAATTTTTGCTAACTTACTACTAACTCAAACATCCCAAACATCTTTAAGAAAAGAAAAATTGTGTTTTAAAAAGTATCCTTTTAAAACCTCCATTGCTTATTGTGTTTGAAAGACATTTAGGACCACAGTAATATTTTTTAGGTATTTGCTTCCTCTCAGGTCCTAGAATGAAAGGATAGTATTATGTTATACATGCTCACTGTTTAAGAATACAAAATAGCTCATGAATTCATGCTTAAAAATATCTAAATCTTGAAATGTTAAAATCTTAAAAAACATGGGCAGTTTTGCAGAAAGAAGATCAACAGAGTCAGGAAAGTAATTATTTAAAAAATTATGCATAGTCCAATTCTGCCATCATAATCAAAATAAAAGCCAAGATTAAAAAAAAAACCCAAACCACTCAAATATGTGAAAACATCAGCTTTAAACAAAGATACATTGCTAGTTTTAGATAAAACATGCCTGTCCAATCTGGTAACCTTCCAGCGCCGTCACTCTTTCTGGAAGTTTCTTATTAGAAGTATTTCCAAGTCCTAATCGCCCATAATCACCATTTCCAAATGTAAAAAGTTTGCCATCTGCTGTCACCACAGCAGAGTGTTTGAAGCCACACGACATCTGGAAACAAAATAAACATGGTGGTTTTTACATACATTTTAAATTTTGGGGGGAAATTATATTAGCTATTACATGTAAATATGTAATACCTCTTCCTCCCCTAAACTATATTCACTTTATAAAGAGCTAAAATACAGAAACTTTAGTATTATGATTTCTCTAACAACTATCTCTTATTCTGCTCAATGGTAACACTGAGGAGGAAGACAGGAAGGTATTTGTGTGCAGAAAGGCTTTCAGGTGTTTTATTTATTCATTTTTACCAACTACTGTTTTCTGCAAACAGATTGCTTTTGTTGTACAAATATTCTACATTTTTATACAGAAACCTCCAGTCAAAGACAAATGTGTTTTTGTGCATTGTCATAATGCACTCTTAGTACTTAGGATGAGGTCTCTGTGACTGGTTTTGTAGGTCTAAGACACCTGACAGGGACCAAGGGAAACTTCTAAATCGTGTCTGTATTTTGACAATCTTTTGATCATCCCTCTCTTCCATGCTCTTTCTAATTTTTAGTCTTCTCCAGTAACAACTGTCAATCAACATCACACATCAACAATGAGCTCTGTGATATTAATACCCTTCAACTGGAAATTATCAAGTTGGTTCATAATGCTCAGAGAAGTAAAAAGTTGCCTGTTTTCATTCAGTATATGAATTCAAACTGTCAAGACTGACAATGGTTCTGCAATGTTCCTAGCACTAGGTTACCAAGCCTGCAGTTTGTATGAGACAAAAAATATTTTGGAACCTGCACCACTTCTTCTCCTTGCAGAGCCTCTATTTGTCTAGGCCTGCGCTGTCTGTCGCTGTTCCCATGTCCCAGTTTGCCATAATCTCCATCTCCCCAGCTAAACACTTCCCCACTTTCTGTTAAAGCCATGGAATGTCCATCAGATCCACAAGAGGTCACCAGCTGTGTTACAACAAAGCCTGTTAAAGAAAAATGAGAAAACAAAGTTTAGAATAAATTATAATTGTCCTGGTTTTGGCTGGGATAGAGTTAATTTTCTTCCTAGTAGCAGGCATAGTGCTGTTTTGGATTTAGTAGGAGAAGAATGTTGATAACACACTGATGTTTTCAGTTGTTGCTGAGTACTGCTTATGCTAGTCAAGGACTTTTCAGCTTCCCATGCTCTGCCAGGTACACAAGAAACTGGGAGGGGGCACAGCCAGAATAGTTGATCCAAACTGACCAAAGGGCTATTCCATACCATATGACGTCATGCTCAGTATATAAACTGGGGGGGTTGGCCGGGGAGCAGTGATCGCTGCTTGGGAACTGGCTGGGTATCGGTCAGCGGGTGGTGAGCAATTGCATTGTGCATCACTTGCTTTGTATATTACTATTATCATTATTATATTGTTATTATTATCATTACCATTTTACTTTATTTCAATTATTAAACTGTTCTTATCTCAACCCAGGAGTGTTTCTCACTCTTACTCCTCCGATTCTCTCCCCCATCCCATTGGGGTAGGGGGAGTGAGCGAGTCGCTGCGTGGTGCTTAGTTGCTGGCTGGGGCTAAACCACGACAATAATAAACTCTTAACATACATTTATCCAAGTGCCCCTAGTGGTAGCCAATTAAGTCTGGGGAAAGGAACCAACCACAGTAACAGTTTTCTTGTTATAGCAATTTATTTATTTATTTTTATTTTAAACAAAACCTCTTTCTTCTCATGTACAACCTATGCTTCTGGCCTGCCATTAGTTTTGAAATGAAATGTTCCTATCTTGAGCAAACACTTTTCCCTGAAGCCTTCTTAAAATTAAGGAATTTTAACATATTCCTACTTAAAGGAGAAATAAAACATCTAGTTTATTTGTTCAGTTTTTTAATTAAAGACTACAATACCTTAATGTGTAAATCTGCAAAAATAGCATCAACACAAATAATTATATTAACTACCAAAACACTTAATTGTGCTTTATCGACTCATTTAAAACCCAACAACTTTACCTTGCAGTGCTGAGATGACTGTTAACACATGAAGATCATCAGAATTTCCTTGTCCCAGTCGCCCATAGCTCCCTTCTCCACAAGCCAAAACCGTGCCATTAGCTTGAATGACAAAAGTACAATTCTGACCACAAACAACCTAGTTTAGAGAGACACAAAGGAGTTTTAGTAATTTTTGTTAGATGCAGCAACATTGTAATACCTGCATTGCAATGTACAATCATCTTCTAAAATTTTTTTTCTCTGTAATTATATCAAGACAACAGACTCTTTTGTCACACTGCAAATACCTGTGTGACAACCCTATTAACATTAAGACTTCACTCACTCCTTCAGAAAGCAAAATGGGCACATTATTACATTAAAGCTGAGCAGGTATTTTCAAATCATGCTCATATTGAACAATGTTGTTTTGTCAGATTTCATGGCTTCTTGGTTTGAATTTGTCAAATAATTAAAGACTTCTTGAGTGAAAACACACGTTTTGGGGGTACTTTATAGTAAATTCAAACAACAAATTGAAAAGACATTTAGAGAGAGATTTTGACAAACTGTACAAACAATACATGCTAAATCATTAAAAATAGAAGCACATGACTGTTTTTAAATGTTCACCTGCTGAGCCTGAGAGAATGAAGGTGCTGCTACTGGTATCATGACATTTCTACCAGCTTCTGCTAACTGTCCATGTCTTCCTGCTCCCCACAGATACACGTCACATTTACCTCCCAAGTGCCAATCCTATGGAATAGCAAGAAAGAATGCTTTAGAACAGTATTTTCAATAGCTTATGATGTTTAAAAAAAATTTTTAAAAAAACAAATGAAAAACAAACAAACCCCCCACACCCAAACCCTATCAATTTTACTAACCTCTGGCCTTGACGTTGCCCAAGACATTATCTGTTCATCCATACCATTGATCCATTTACTGTTATCCTACACAACAAAAGCCACAGTTACGACATTGAGTTCAAGAGATGCACATTATTTTGCTGATATGTAATACATATTTTCCTTTCTAAGAACATTATTGACATTCAAATTATTCTAAACAGTTTAGCAGTAAGAATGAATGTGCACAGACTCAAATACTTTATTTTTGTCCATAGACCAAGTTTATTTCCTTACTACACCTATCTAGCAATGACACTGTTATCCATGACGTGCAATCAAAATAAAAAAAGAAAATCAGACAAAATTAATGATGAAGTAATCTTTTACTATTACTGATGCTTAAGGCTTTTTGAAGTTTTAATTGCAAACACTGGCTTAAAATGTTATAAGCTTCCTGCCAAAAAATTCTTAATCCAAAATTTCTAGTTTGGTTTACATATAACAAGTCATAAAGACAACTGACACTAACAAAATAATTCAGTGTAGACATGTGCCAAAATGTTACTCTAAAACCAGCATTGTAAAGCTCTACATTTCTTGCTTCTATCACATATGAAAATTGCTGTCACAGTTTTGGGTTGTTTTTTGGTTTGTTACATTTTTTTAACATGCAACTGACTTGCGCTCATGACTACACACACAGGGAGCCATCTTTACAGTACATTCTACCCAGTTAGTTAAACAATAAACTTACACTTATTGCTGGTGCTATGTTAATGAATATAAATCTTTACAGTTCAGAGGTGTTAACTGCATCATACCATATGCTCAATAACAACATGCTTCGCTGTTGAGACAGCATAGAATATTTTACCATTAGGAGAGTAAGCTCATCCTCTGGAACAGGCTCCAGGTCTGGAACAGCAAAGGATTCTGGAAACTGTGCTCCCTTGGCCAGGGCTTCAGCAGCTTTTATGGTAGTAGAGAAACACTCTAGCCAGGCCCATTCTGTGGGATTCCAGGCTGAAGGATCAGGGAGGCAGTTCTGGTGATGAGGTGGTACCGGGGGATTGCACAAGAGCTGATCTAGGTGAAGGCCCACAGCGAGTGATGCCAAGCACTGCATATAAGGACTATGAACAAGCTGGTCTCCACAAACAACATGGGGCTAAAGGTGAGGGGAGTGGGAGAGAGAAATTGAACATGCAAAGTTAGAAATATTTATTAATCAACAAAGCTAGCCCTGTAGAAAAATACTTTCCTCCACGCTAAATCAAAATTTTTCTAATGTTTGAAATATTCTCAAATTAGGAGACTACTAGCTTTGAGAATACTGGAAGACATTTGCAAACAGGATATAGGAAAGTGTTCTGGGTTTTCTGTGGTGAAGGACTGAAACCAGCTGAGATTCCAACAGTAACCTCATTTTAGACATGAATTTTAAATGTTCGCATTAGCTCTTCTTACCTTTTCATAAGCATACTGTTCCTGAAGCATTATCGGCAAACGTTCCAAGAAAGCTCGCATGCAAGGAGCCATATTTAATCCCAGAACTCCTTGCTGTTTCAGTGCAGTCCTACATGTTGCAAGGACGTGATTGGAAGATATCCATTCTGATGTACAGTTCACTACCAACACATCCTGTTTAATAGCAGTCACAAGACACATCAGAAATTAAAAATTCATAGAGCAGGATTATTCAGCTCTGTTGATTTATCACCAATTATCTTAGTTTCCATAGGGGCCAGAAAATACACAAGCTTGAACATTTTTGTCTCTGTTGCTGAATAGTCTGCTGACAATGCTACAGAGTAGCCATCTGCATTTGCCACTTCCTCACATTCCCATGGCAACACTACAATTATCACTCTAAGGAAGAATACAAGCATGGTAATAAGCAAAGTTCATTTCAGTGAATGCTGTAACCTTAGTTTAGTATTTAGTTTAGGTGTAACCTTACTTTAGGATTTGCCTTGTAATGTGACCTTCAATATTAGGTCTGAATTCAGAAAAGACTTTCAAAGAATCCCAAAACATTTAGAACCACATGCAGCATGGCTCTACTAACAGGAGCTGTAACTTGTGCCATATTTATCTTCATTCACAAAAATTACCATCTTTTGAATAATGAACTGTTATAAAACTTCTGTTCCGATGCCAGCAGTTCCTGACACAGCAAACACTGAAGTAAATTCTGCTGCTCCTTAAAATTATTTCTGATGTTGAGGATGCTTTAGATTAAGTTAGATACTGAAGTAAGTATCTTATTTGCTGGGGGAAATGCAACATTTCTTCATGTTGCATAAAGGAAAAAAAACCCAAAATCTGTCTTCTGCCTATTTTTGTTGTCCGTTTAGGCCTGCTGCCATTAAACAGATAAGCAGATGTAACCAGTGTACAGCACCCTTTATAACCACTGGCTCAGAAGGATTCCACCCTGCCCCCAAATTAAACATGGGATACTATTAAAAACCCCCACCCTTTTTAGGGTCAGGTGATAGTTGAAAGCCAAAACAATGTCTCTTAAATATATATATGAGAGTTCTATCTGCAGAT